CCCTGCCGCTGGATCCGAGAGCGTGTGTGTCCCTGGCTCAGCCAGCACTGACATATTGTCACATTCCTAAAAAGGGAAGATTATTAATAACTGGAACTGGCTGTATCCTTCTGTCACCTACTCAGCTTTCCATCTCTGAAATAACTTGCATAACTGTAAGAACTCTTTCACTAACTCCGTGTATAGTGCTCTTCTGTGTTTGGGATTGTGAGAATAGGACAAGGTATTGATCCTCTGGGAAGAAGGAAGCATGTCTGAAGTCTTTCCTAGAGTAAATATTTCTAGCTTCTTCCTGGGTACATTTTACATAAATAAATAAATATAATAATAATAATAATAATAATAATAATAATAATAATAATAATAATAATAATAATAATATCTGAAAAATACAAACCTGATTACTTACAGAAGACCATGCTCACCTTTAATAACAATGATAAGATGGAGGGGGGTGCTCTCCCTAGCAAGAACAGTTTTTAAACAGAAGCTGCCACCCTTGGTCTGGCAGATGCGATGATTGACCTTGTGTTGCACTTGTGGGCTGTTGCAACGTGAACAACAAGCTCTGCTGAGTTTTTTTGGCCTCAGCTGCCATCCACGATGTGTGTTTCCTGCTGTGCTGTGAAATGTACTTTGAGAGTACGTAAATAGAAAAGCTGTTCTTGGGGACAAACCACCTTTTTGTTGGTTCACCTGGCGGTTTGTAGCAATTCTCTTGGCTTCTTTGTTGCTGCAGGAGCTGCTGGTGTTACATGGATGTTGTTTTGTGGACAAATGGAGGTTGTGAGTTTGATAAACTGCCAGGTTTTTATTGTCAGTCTACTTGTTGAACTTGCAGTGGGCTTTAGACTTTCAGTGTTGACTTCCTTAAGTTTTTGGAGCTCTTCTGCACTTCATAAAGTGCACTATTCATCATCTTTATCTCCTCAGTTACGAGAATAAATACGGTCAAGCAATTAATACCAGAGGGTGCATCTATCACACTCCATTAAGAGCCTGTTACACTCGGGGCATGCCATGATGCCTCAAGTTGGAGAGTCACAGAAGTGGCCAGCCAGGACCTTGGATCTTATCCCAAGAACAGGAGGAAAAATAACAGCATTCTTAACGTACCCCTTAGGCTGTCTTCATGGTTTTTTTTTGTGGTGATTAGCGACTGACTGAAGGTAAAACTTGCAGTGCCTGGCTTGACAGCTGACCTGCAAGTTGACGCGACGCTTCGGGTGTCTTGTTCTGCCACAGCCTGCTTATCCCTCTTGATTTGTAGCTCAAAACGACAAACAGCCCATCAGGTGCGCACGTTTGTCAGCGTTATGCCCTGGATCTGGCTGGATCCAGTGCCAGATTGGAGGGGCGGTGGAGGGATTTGTTTTCCTGCGGTTGCTGGCAGTCGTTTTTCACACGCACGCTCCCCCCCCACCTCCTGAAGTGCAGCAGCTGTTTGCCAGATGTGCGCAGCATCGGCATGCTCACACATGTGAAACAGGTAAACAGGGTTACCGACCCTCTGGTCCTGAGACATAGCTATTGATCTGGATCTCCAAACCCACCGCACCACCCTCGGTCCTTGAATTGAGAGAGAAGCGACAGGTTCGTGCCATACTGCTCTTTGTGACCCCATATGGAAACAGGTGATAGGCCAGGATGTACATCTGGCTCTGATGGAGTTGGCTAGTTGTCACACTGTAAGCTTGCCTTCTCAGTGTGCATGTGCAGATACAGGGGAGTCTGCACTGATTAAATCCTCATATTGCTGTGGTTGCCCTAGGTCAGGTAACCCGTCAGCACGGAGTCCTCCAGACCTCAGCCTCAGAAGCATCCGAGTGTAACAGAGGAAACGTGTGCTGGAGTTGCAAATTGTAACTTCACTTCATCGTTTGCCAGGCAAAAGCCTCTCTAAAACCTTGCCCTCGATGTAAGCATAGCATGTTTGCCATTTTAAGGGGTATTAAAAAGATGAAGATAGGGAGACAAATGATACAATCACAGAAAGTCTTTCTCCAGCAAGTGATGATAAAAGCGCCTTGTACCGTGATAATGCCTGTGTATTGTGCAGAAATTTCAATTCCTGAGTCAGAAATGTACCAAATACTTCATTTTCTTTTTGCTTTCCTCATCTTTCGACAGATTCAGATCTCTCTCTCTGGAAATGTAAAGCTAACAGTTTGACTGGGCTGATGAGTTTTGTTGCTGCATCTTGAACATTTGATTTTTCCTTATGCTCTGGCGTCTGCTATTCTTTAGCACAATCACGCTGAATATCAATTAGGAGGCGGGAAGATGATTGTGGAAATCTTGGGTGAGGGGATGAGATGCTGACTGGGATTTCAGCCGTTCTGAATGGGGATGCATGTTTGCTCTGAATTCTTTCTGAACTTTGAAAAGTCTTCACTATTCAACTACACGTGCTCCGCAGCGGCATGAGATTTTGAGATCCCCGTGATTTGCGTTCCTCTCTTCAAAGAAATGGCAATAAATGGTCTCTTCCGCGGGCAGGAAGACAAGACAAGTGGTCAGTGCCAAAGTTATTTAGCAGATGGTGCTTGAGTAGTGAGCAACATCATCATTTCAAGCGTAAGGCACATAATGGATGGCTACCGGCCTGGCGAATGAGACCCCCGGTGTTACTCACATGCTTCCGTCTCCCATCCTGCAAGATGCTGCCATCTGTCAAGACACCGAGCCAGGCCTCTCTTCAATAAATAAATAAATCCATTTCCTCCTTCTTTCCAAAGCTCATGCCATCTCCTGGTTAAATAAAGGCCATATGTATATATGCCATGTGTGGGCGTATGTATATAATACATGTGAGGAAGTGGAAAATGCAGATACAAGTATAAGACATACAGATACAAGTATAAGAAACGCAATTTTGGGTGCTGTGAATTGGGATAGACGATGCTAATGCGTGGTGAACAGTTTCAGGAGAACACTGTGTACTTTTCTAAGTGCACTGTACACCAAGCGTGAACGGTCATGGCTCTTGTCATGAGTTAATCTCCTCTTTCTCTGTCTTTTGGCAGAGTGTGACAAGCTGCGGCGGGATGGCTACCGGAGCTCCCAGTATTACTCTCAGGGCCCCACCTTCTCCTCATCCTCCAGCGCTATCTGTGGAAGTTACCAGGATGATTATGAAGAAATTGAACAAAAGGTAATGGTGGGGGGCAAAGTGCTGGAAACAATACATGCTTGGTGCAGTTTAATTGCCTGCCATAACATTGTTCAAATAATGTAGGATTTTTAGAAGATTGGAAAGATGCCCATTACTTTGAATAAGGACTAGGTCATCTGACTTCTGTAGTTTCTTAAAAATCCCATTTCTTCTCATGCATTTATATAAAGTTCCCACTGGCAAAATAAAGCTGTGAAAGCCAGGAGTTTGGTAATGTTCTGGAGAGAAGACCCCCAGCAAGGGTAGCTGGTTTGAATCTGTTAAGTGTTTACATTCGAGTAGCAGGAAGAGCTATTAGCCAGCCATCCCTGTACTCCCATTGTAACAGAAATGTGCACACTTTGAATTGCTAATACAGTTATGCAGTTTCACTAGGTAGAGGCTTTGTCCTAATGCATCACAACTGTTTGCATAAAGGCATCCAGAAAAGTGAAAGATAGCCCACTAAGTTGGGTTTGTCAGCTTTCTTTCAGTTCACTTCATGGTTTTGGTGTTTATATGCCCACATCTCAACTCTATCTATGCTCAGCTTAGAAACTAGAAAGGAATTAAACAAATAAAGAGAGAAAAAGAAAGTACAGTTGAGGAAAAAATCCTAAGAAAGTTTTCAAGATGTATTGTTGTATATACATCAATTTATATACACTTCAATTACAGAACTAGTAAGTTGCATTAGTGTTCTAAAGACGAAAAGGAATTTTGCTCCCGTCATTACCTTGCCCTGTTTTTCCTGTGGGCTCTGAAAGAGAAGCTAAGTTTGGTGCTGGGGAAAAGGACGTTACTACTGGGGTAGACAGCAAGGTGCACTGGAGCCTGGGTGTCCAAACCTGAAATGCTGGAACTCCTGGGATTTTCAAGATAGATGATTCTAGAATACTTTGCCACAAACTGTTGCTCAGAGAATGGGAGGATGTTGTTGACTGTAACACAGTTGAATTTCTTTGAATGGTCACTAAACTGTATGTGCCTCTGTAGCATGGACCAAATAACTGTCTATACAAAGTGCACAAATCCTGAGAACTCACTTCAAAGGGTGGTGTTGTCAGTTCTCTCCTCCATGGTTTTTAATCACATAAAAAAAGGTGTCGTGGAATACGTAGTCTCCCATCCAGGTGGTGATGGCATCGTATCTGTGTATTGGCAGGGAATGTGAGAGCATCTTGTGTAGCTGTGTGTGGTATGTACTGGAGGGGAGCAGAGAATGTAAAGCACATTCATACTGCGGAATGCATTATAATGGTAATTTGCAAAACCTTACGGAAATCAGTGGAATGATGATTTCCACTGGGTAAAGTATTAACACCTTGCTTGTTGCTGTTAATATGCTGCATATAGATGCATACATACGTGTTATCAACTGGTCTTAGCCAATGGTGTGCAGCACATGACCATCTGCACATGTAAAGCTAATGTAACATTTAAAAAAAGTACAAATACATGTTTTTTAACAATTTGAATGAGAACATATAAGCATGGGTGAGGCCTCTTAGAGACTTAAGAGCTGTCACCCTTGGTTAAGGATTTTCTGGAGTGTTAACATAACGTGTTACTAACGATTTCTGTGTATTCTGAAAAAAGTGAATGCAACTAATTATGCTTCAAGGATAGGACAGCACTTCCACTTCAAATTGGAATAGATTCCTGTAAATATTTTTAGCTGAAAGGATGATTCAGAGCTATGGAGAAAGATACTTGCCAAATTGACAGTCTTGGGTGTTACTGATTATCACAGAACCTTAACTCTGCCGTTCTTATTTGCGGCTCAGAAAGGCATTAATCCCTTGTAAAAGGTAGCATAATTCTCGCTTCATATTGTGCAACTCAGTGTTTAGTGGTGTCCTTTCACCAGTATCTTTTGTTAATTGGCTTTTTTTTTTGTAACGGCTTAATTTTTTTCTCTTTTTTAAAATGAACGCTTATCACAACACATCTCTGAACTTGAATTATAATCCCGCTGGTAAAGTGCCAAGTAGTTCTAATAAGCCTTATGCCTTGAGCAAGTCATATTTCAGCTGTCAGAAGAGTTCTTCACTAGCAGTGTGGAACCGAGGTCACCAAAATCCAAATGTGAACTCCTCCCCGCTAGATGAAAGCTTTGTGGCTTTGTTGTCTGTTCAAAGCAAAAAAGCCGACGTTTACATTCTCTACATCCAGTACTTAAGAGTGGAAATTCGAGAACAGCAGAATAATGATGGATGGATGAATACCTATTTACTGTTCGGAAATTTGCTTCTAAGTTGACATAATTGCCAACTTGCAGAAAAACTGTGTTTTGCTACATGGTGATTTCACAGAAGAAGCCATCTTTCCCTGCTCTTTTTAATCTGCTTAAAAAAAAAAAAAAAGCATCCAGATACTCTTTTTGTCTTCACTGGAGACATAGTCTGAAACCACGGCTAGGTGATGTGAGAGGAGATCTCGATCCACATTTTCATGTTTTGTGGAGGTGGGTGCTTGTCACCAGAGGGTAATATTTGTACTACAAAGCACATGGTTCAGTGCAAGTCTTAGAAAATGTCTAAGATAAGCAGAACATTTGCTGTTTCAAAGGAAAACCACGAGGGATAAGCAGGCAAGTTAGCCCAGCTCAAAAACAAGCAAACAAAAATAGAAAACACAGAAACCTGAAGTCTCAGAGTGATATAAAATGAAGTTCTTGGAACTGCCCTTTTACTCTTAAGTCGATTATTACAAATTATATTAGTGGAGCACAGACCAAACTCCACTGCAGTGTATTTCTGCTCATCCTAATTGAGGTTGTTGGAGATTAAACTGGTTTATCTGGATGTTACATCTCAGCACTGTGACCAATGTCCTTCTTTCTCGTCTCTTACATACCACTGTTGGTGACACGACTTGGGAGCTATTCCTGTCCTTCAATATTGCTCTGTTTTCCGAGTGTCAAAGATGTATGGAGACACCACTTTCAAGCTCTGGTTTCCCCTTATTTGTTCTGAAATGTATACGTTGTGTATATTGAATGTATTTGTCTTTTTTGTGTTTTTTTCTCATTCTTTTCTCCTTCCCTTTTCATCACTCATTCTTTTTCTTTCTTTTTGTCTCGCTCAACAGTCTAGTCTGTTAGACTGCATCTCTCAGTCTTGCATTAGCGCCTGCTGTAACTTGGTTCCCTGGAGCAACAAGGTACCTTGCCCACGAGTGGGACCATCCAGCTGCCGTATCTGCAGCTTGATGTTACTTGTAGCATTTAGCATATATGCAATCTTACTCTGCTCTTAGCCTTCAGTCATTACCTGCTTCTGTTTTATATTTAAAAAAAAATAGTTAAAAATCAACTGCTCAACAGAAGAGTGCCCTGCCAGGTTTGTCTCCTTCATTTTTCCTCGTTACTCCTCCCGGTCTGCAGTTCAATGTCCTGTGTTTACTTGGTTCACTGAAATTTTTTAATTCCTTTTTGTCTATTAACATTTGTCTCCTTTGAAACCCCTCCCCCACTGAACACTGTGTTTTATTTAAATGGCTTCTTCATTGGTTTTTAATTGGCCAAGGAAAACCTTTACTGATTTGGAGTAATGTATTTTTCTTAAATGATGAACGTGAGCTGCAGCGAGTACTTGCTCCCAGGCACGCAGTATATCATGGCTTTATTACATCTATGAAGATGTTTGTATGCCAAAAACTCACGGTATTTTTCCCCAGGTCCTGCCATTTGGCTTATGAACTTTGCCTTGATGCAGTCTGTTAGGCTTCAGGTACAAAAACATTAATTTTTCTTATACCTGGGGAAAAAAAAGTGTATTTTTTGCCACTGTACTCAGCCCAACTGTTAGTTGTCTCTTCAATATCTGCCAGAGACTGTTTAGTATCTTAAGTGAAAGCAAATGCATTAACTGTATTGGCTTGAGGGACTTGAGGAGGTCTAACTCAAAATTTTGCTTGGTGTTAAGAGGGGCCAAAGCAGTTGGGCACTCCAGTTTGGAGGTGGGAATGCCTGAGAGCCCTGAGGCATGGGCTCTGGCAGAACTGGAGATGCTTCTCAGTGGTGTTGCCCTCAACTCGCCTCCCTGCCCCTCTGCTGCCATCTTATGAGGGTGCTCTTGTAATCAGCATGTCTGTTTTATGCTGCTTCCTGTTTTTTTGAAAAACTGCAGTTGCTGCAAGAATTGTGGATGCTGAAAGTTTACATGGGTTCCAAAAACAACTGTGTGAATTCAGAGGGAGGGGGGCAAGGACTCCATCCGGTGCTGAGACAGTATTCAGGGAAAAGTATCTGCTGTATGTATTTTCCGATTTAATTTCACCTGTGTATCACCGATAGGCCATTATCATAAGGCAGATACTAGGTAGGCTTTTAGAGCTCTGAACCGATGCAATACAGCTCTTCTTATGTTTTTAATTCCATTGCAAGAGAGGAAGAAGAAAGGAACGTTTCTGCAGTACTGGTTAAGGTGATAACTTGCTTGATGGTCAGTAATTTCTGCTGACAAAAAAAAAAAAATCCCTTCCTTACTGAAGCAGTGATGGCTATGAAGTGAAGGATTTAGTAGAAAGCAAAATTGGCTAGTGCCACTGAAGATGCGTGTTTAGAAGTAATAAAAAGGAATATTCTATGAAAACTGGGGGGACTAGACTGCAGACCTTGGTCTGGAGGACACCAAATAGAGCAAGACATGACTAATTCAACTTAAATGTAAATTCATGTAAATTTATAACATGGCAGTGTTCCATAACAGTGTGAAACCCCACGGGTGACATTCTTTATTGACCAAGAAAGAGGAATTTAAAGGTTTGGAGGTTGGTTTTTTTTCCCTGTTATTGTTTGCCTTGATCCCCCTGCAAGGGCACTTGAGGCCATCAAACTTAGTAAGGCTGGAGAACAAATAGGATGTTGACAAATAGTAGTAGACAGCTGGATTGGTATGGCTCCTGTCCACAATGCTGATGTTTTTTCCTCAATTTTGTTTTTCTGAGAAATTATAATTTTAGAGTGATTGCAGTAGAGGTAAAAGAAATGACTGGAAGTTTGAAGTTTCTTTGCTGAAAGGTAAAATTTGTATGGATTGAATTTTCCTCCTTGAGGTCCCATCTCTCTTCAAACAGTGTGATATAAACCCCTGGAATATAAAAAGATTAAGAATAAACAGGGTACGTAGGCAGAGCGTGCTGCAAGGTACACAGCGTATACTCACCTGTCATCTGGGTCCTCTCAAATACTGTGAGTGTGCTGAGGTAGTGAGACCCTTTTGTTGTATCTCAGCGGCTGAGTGGGCTGGAAGACAATATGTCAACAAGGCAATGGCAAGGTCTTGGCTTACTGAGCCATATAGCTTGTCTATAGGGTATTTATGGGCCATTTCTCTCCTGGATTCTCATTTCAACTTCAGTTTGAAAGTTCATGTTTTTCCCCTCTAATGCATGTTCGTGGAAACACTGCAAGGTCCAAGGTTGTTGCTTTCACATCCCATCCCACCTTTTCTTCTTCCCTGGTCCGTTAAAAAGGATCAATGCCAATAAATTTTCCTGAGGAGATCAGTCTAACATCTCGTTGCACAGAAATTTGGCCATTTAAGTCTAGAACTAAAGTTTTATCATGTATCAGAGATGCTTTAAAAATGGGACAGGTGCTTTCTCTTTGATTATGAACATAGTGTTATGGTCACCTTTGCTAAGCAGATACATCATCTGGAAGTACTGCCTAGTCCAGTTCTATTTCTGATATAACAGACCTGACTTGAGAAGACTTTCCTGTTACACAGCAGCAATTCACTGCATCTTCCAGCAAGCTTCTGTGATGTAAATCTGGGAATGTTTGCTAAAAACGTGTTAAATCCCTGTTTTCATCCTTATTATAGCGGTAGATAATTCTGATGTGAAGAAAGCTGGAAGATGAGCTGCTGTTTTTCTCTGTGCACAGTAAAGCTGTGTACAGCTTTGTCGTGCCCATTAAAAGTATCTTCACATCAAAAAATCCCTATACTACTACAATTGTGAGTACTTTGGAAGAAGGAATGTCAGCAGAGACAGTCATTGCTTCTCCAGGAACCATGGAAGGTGTACCTGCAGATGAAACGTGAACATTTCTTGCTATGCACAAGACAGCCTGCAACTCTTTTACTGAATTGTTTGGTAGTACACCCCCTGTCCCATGGCAGAAAACGATTCTCACTGACGTTCTCAACTGCCCATGGCAGGGGGGTTGGAACTAGATGATCTTTGAGGTCCCTTCCAACCCAAACCGTTCTATGATTCTATGACATGATGCTTTGACCTCAGCTGCACAATTGGCTTTACGATTGCTGTTCATTCGTTATATGCCCACTGGGCTGATTCATTTCTGTCCATCTTCCTCCATCTGTCCCAAATTTTCTCAGTTTTTAATTCTGCAAAATTTGTGATTGTTGCTCCATGCTTTTTTGGATAATTAGGAATCCCTTGTAGTAGATGCTTCAGTTTTTCTATCTATTTATATACTGTAACAGAAAAAGTGTTCTGCTTGGTTTCGGCAATTTCCTTGAAAAGGAAGGGTGGCTTTGTAACCAGTATCTCTCCCACTTGACCTATTGGAGTAGCCCCTGCTGACTTCTGCATGACAGCTGAGACCTGGCACTGCAGTATAGTCTGAATGTGACAGATACTGATGCTGACAGTATCAACCAAGCAGACTTATCTGAAGGTCACTGGAGCTCATCCTCACCCCACACAAACTGCAAAACCAGGCTCAAAGCACTTCCCTTGGTGCCTTGATTCAAGCAGGAGAAAAGTACTTTGTAGAAGAGGGAAAGTGATATTTCTCTGCCCCCCCGCCAACCCGTGCCATGTTCCTTACAAACCCTTTCTCTCTTTGCTGTTTTTAAACCAAACTAGGGAGAAGCATGGCCTGGAGGCAGCTTTCCCTGCTGCAATGGCATTTTTCTCCCAAATTGCTTAAGTTAATCAAAGTTTTATAAATTTGAGTGATTTGAGGCGGGAGAGTGCTTGCATTTATGCATAGGCGCATAGACGTGTGCGTGCCCACACTGTGTATGTGTATAAACAGTGCATGTACACACACTCATAAAAAGATAAGCATTCACATTATTTTATAGCAATGGGTTTAGAGCCTTTTCAGAACAATGTGGGCCTGAAAAAATATTGGTGTCCTCCAAGAAGCTTGTATTGAAAGAATAGCTGGAGCTTTCACAGGGCTGAGCCCTTTCCTACAGAGCAGCATCTAGCCTGTCCTCAGCCACCCTGGTAAAGACATGCAAGACTGACAGAAATGGATTATTTCCTCCAAGAAAAGCTCCCACATTTCAAAGTGTGGTTCCAAATCGCAGGATGACATTAGTAATAATTTCATTGCCTGATTTTTTTTTAATTATTATTATTACCTGAAGGAATTTTGCATTTTATTCTTTCACTTTTTGACTGGAAGTTGCTTTTTTTGTTATTTTTTATTAAACAAAATGTTGGGCCCTGTCCTAAAGGATGTAGAGTCCAAGCACAATAGAATAAATAAATGGGTTTTTTATTTATAAACAGCGAAAACTCCTCATGGTAACAGGAAGTAAATTAAAATCAGAAATGATAAACAGTGGTTGCGGCAGTGTCTGGGCATGTCTTTTGTATGGCACTGAGCCTCAAGGGAAAACAGATCACTTAGACTGAAAACCCATAATAATCATAATAATTTTAAAAAAAATTCCATCTGCTGTAAATAGCTGTGATATTTCTTTCCCTGCCCGTGTACAGCAGTGAGGGAGTAACTATGGGGAGAGGCGGTGAGCCAGTACTAGCAGCCCTGTTTTGGGTGGTATTCTGCTCTCCAAAGAGAGGGAGGAATAAAGGAAAAGGGGGAAGGACTGTAACTCTGGTCTGGAGGTGGAGAGGGAGGTCCCAAAGCAAACACCCGTCAAGCAGAGGAGTCGGGAGGTTGCAGAGAGATCTCTGCTCGTGCTGCAGCCTCCACACAACTCCTCTTCCATGGTTTTTGGTGGCGGAGTTGATTTTACTCCAGGTCATCCTTCCTCTCCTGCTTCTGGAATTCTGCTCCTTGCTGGCAGGAGCAGGGAGGAGAGAAGGCTGCTTCTCCCAGGTTTGCCTGGAGCTTGTGACTGCCTGCTGGAAGCCCCAGCGATGTCTTCCGCGGGCCCTGAACCTGCCTGTCCTCAGGGTTTGCCATGGACTAGTAAGTCCTATCAGTAAAAGTCCTATCAGTAAAAAGCTATGTTACGGCTTTCTCTGCCGCTACTGGCACACCAGCAAGGACCTCCTAGGAAAAACGGATTTGGTCCCCGAAAGCAAATGGCTTTTTTGGGTTATAACTTTGTCTGGCGGAAGGATTTGCACAAGCTCTTGCAACCTCTTTTGCTGGTGCCGAAAATTTTTGTTTCGTTGCTTGGTTTTATTTTTTTCAGTGGAACACCTATCACGGAGGTGAAATCTGTGGCTCTGATGAAGAATGACTTTTAAAACGACCGTTCTGTGGCCACTAATACTGTTAACTGCTTCACCCTTGGAAAACAGACAAAATTAACCCCTTGACTGTGGCATGAGTTTCTCCAAGGCCAAAGCAAAGTTATTCTTGCCACCTCACTGATCCGTGGCTGATGGTTTTGTTGAGTGCGTTGTCTGGTTCTTTTACTGAGCTCCCAAAATCCGTGTCTTCATAACAGGCTTCTCGCTGAGACCTTACGCATCCCTACAACCTAGTACAGCTGGAGCAAAGCGCTGCTCAAATCTCATCTTGCTAATAGGGCACTGGGAGGGGTTAATCACTCCAGGGACAAGGTCAATACGTAAGAGAATTGGTTGCTGTGCTTTGCTCTGCTCAAGACCACTCTTTTCTCTCTCATTGGTGTAAGTTCTTCAGACTGATCAGATGTCTTGGATAAATACAATCCAGGTGTTCTGTTGTGGGTTGTTCGATTGGTTTTATTTTTGAAATCATTCTTTATGTAGGTCAAAGTTTGATATTGGTGAGGGCGTATTTTGCTCCACAGGCAATCGTGCTGACTGCAGCGGGCAATACCTTAGTAATGCCATAGTCCTATCTTTTTTTTTTCTTTTTTTTTTTTTTATAGTAAACTTACATTGTTGCTTGAATTTCTGTTTGTAGTGTCCGGTCTCTTCCCCAGAAGAAGAAAAGCTTATTACCATCAAAAGGCCTAAAACTCCAGTTTCGAATGAGTTATCAGATATCAACACCCAAACCAACTGGACTAAATCACTCCCACTGCCAACGCCAGAAGAGAAAATGCGACAACAAGCGCAGGCAGTCCAAACAGATGTGGTTCCTATTAATGTGACTGGTAGGCTTTTGATTTCAGTAATTACATTACACTGATGAGGGAGGGAAGGGGCAAAAGGGGATCCATACAGTTGGACAGTATTTTGATGCTCATATATTTGATGCATGAATTTGAACTTCCTGCACCTTTCTGTGAAAAGAGTGTTTTGTGTTTAGTAGTCTATCTCTGACTTTACTGAGAAAAACCTCAAAATCCCTGAAAATGATAAGTAATGAAGATAATCCACGCAACGTGGACTTGAAATGGCATTAGATACTCATGAAATACCAGAGTAGGATTGATAAATAGAAGTGTTTTGCTGTGGACTGCACTGAAGATATGTAATGGAAAATTACGCTTTATGAAATGCTGATGATATGCCAGGGTTTTCTTCTACGAATTTTGTGTAAGGAAGGTTATTAGGAACTTCTGTATTCCAAAGACTAAATGTTAAAAAATTCAAGAAAAAAAAAGTTCTAGGGTTTTATTTTTATCAGCAACAAGAGGTCTAGGTGTCAAGGAGTAGGGCAAGAACACCAAAAGTTAATGGGGCTACATCTTTGAGCAAGTCTCTTGGTAAGACACTCCACTTCTGTGACCATAGTCCATATTTTCTTGTTATGAACTGTGTATTAACTCTTCATTTAGAAAATGCTCTTTGATTTTACAGTTGCAGAACTCCCACTCTGTGGAAGTTAAATTATATTTAAGCCTAATGCTGAATGAGTATTTTGTTGTGTGTAAATAGAATTTCTGTGAAAGATTTAATGATCACTTCGATTTAATAATCCCTCTTTTTCTGCACAGTATCAAGATTGTCTATTATTAGTTAATTCAAATAACTGACCGTTTGCCTGCCAAAACGAGGATGATATTCAATATCCAGTTTATTTCAAATGCCATATGGCACGCTCTGACTCCATGCTCACTCTTACAATTAATAGCTTGCAATGTTTGGTTTGGTTTTGAAAGTAAATTAGTTGTTCTCTTTCCCTTGCATGACTACCAATAATTTTTTTTCCTATATTTTTATAAACTAGTATTTTAAATAGTATTATTTAATAGTATTTAAATATTTTAAGTAGTATAGGAGCAGTACTTCTCTCAAGCATCAGAGAGCTCTTGAGAAATCAACAAGAAATGTTTCCTTAAATAAACAGCAGAAAAGATTTGAAATAAATAGCATGAAGGCAACAGAAAATTGTGAACACCCCACCTCTGGAAAACTAATAGAAGGAAAAATAAATACAATGCCGAAACGTGACTGGGCCAGTTGGCATTATGTAGGGAACGTAGGATACAGGTGCAGAAGGCTGAGTTATGGGAACAAAGGATAATCCGACATAATCGATAAACTTGAGCAGGGCTTAGGTACTGTGACAGCAGGAGCAGAGTATACTTACAGAAAGAGTAATCTGCTGTTCGATTTAATGACTCTGTGTACTGAAAATATATGGGGGGAGTAAGCAGACAGAGAGAAAAATGAGGCAAAAAATCTCAAATGATCCCCATAGATGTAATTCAATGTCAGTGGGAACGTTACTGTGTTTGGATAAATTACACTTGTGACTTTAACCAGCTTAATTCAACCGGTGGAGCAAACCTTGTGTCCCCTGGATGGTTTGGTTTGCACTGGGCAGACTCAGCAGTTCTCGACTCTTCTGATAAAAATAGTGCACGTGCATATTTCAGCTCACCTTGCTGGAGTGTGGTGTTGAGCATTTATTCCCTTATAAACATGGTAATTGGAAGCGATAGAAAGGGAGAGCGGTGAAGGCAGACCGCTGCACTATGTGGACTGGTCTCTGGGATCCACGCTTTCCTTTTCCTTGGAATAATTCTGTTGCTACTGCACAACAAGGCAAGCGACAGTAACAGACTATGAGACGCACACAACACACACACAAAAAAAGCTGCTGTCCTTGTTCCTCTTTAAAAAGTCACAATCTGCTCTCCTCCTCTGCCCTCCCACACGCCGAGTAACTTTATTTTGTGAAGTTCCTTGTGTTACTGCATGAGGCAGGAAAAAAAGGACCAAAAACTCTGTGCCATTTGTTCAACGTGCCATGGAACAAACCATCGCCGGTTTTTGTTTTGATTTGGCTTTTTCCTTCGCTTGCTCTTTTTCTCACTCTCCCAGAAGAGAGGTCAAAAAACTTCCATTTTGTTACTCCTGGCGTGAAATAAAAGGTTAAGCTCCGAAGAGGCTGCTGGCAATTGACAGCATTTTCAGCAGTGCACGAGTAATGATTCTGCTACAACGGCCTCTCGTGTGGCCGTGCAATAAACGTTCCACGAGTTCAGCTTTCGGGGCTCTTCGGTGAACGGATTCCAACTAATACAGTAGTAGCAAAAATCTGTTGGATATCCCAAAGGTGCAGGGGCATTAGGCTGACGTGCTGCTGACTAGACTTCCAGATTTGGAAGGAGTTGCAGTCTTTGGGAGTGCCTGAACTGATCTTACTCTGGTCTGGAAGGGGTTGGGCTGAATTTTCAGTGGTGGCCAGTCTTTTCTTTTACATATCCTGGGGGTTAAAAGATGTATAATGGTGTCTGCTCTCGTGGGTTTTCCGGAACTAACTTTCTTTCCAGATGGAGGAGTCTGGTGATGGTGGAGGTGATCGGCGCCAGGCTGGATCCTGCAAAACATTTAAGCATTTGCTTGAGTCCAGCTTGATTGACTTCAGTGAGATTTAAGCACATACTTAAATATTTTCGGTGAATCCAAGGAAACTGAGCAAACCGCATGAGGGAAAAAACTGAGTAAACTGTATAAGGAATGCCTAGATGATTTGTTACAAACCTGTAACAGAAAGAGAAAAGTATCCTTAAATCTGCAAAATATATTTAATGTTAAGATTGACGTTTTCCAACAAAAAAAAAGATGACAACGAAGAACGGATAAAAGACTTGAGATGTTCTGATTTTGCTCGTTGGAATTTATTGGAGCTGCTACTTTGAAATTCTACAAATTTGCCCAGTGGCTTTGAAAAAGCTTCTGTATTGAAAGCCATTGCAGATGGATTGGTTGAGTTAGCTCTTGGGTAGCTCAGGGGCAGAAGTTACTGTGGATCAGCTGACAAAGGAACATTTCCCCCTGGTCATCCCATTTGTGCTGTCTGAGGCTTCACATAAAAGACTCTGTCCTGGTTTGCACACTCTACTTAATTTTATTCCAGGGCATTCAAAGCTGTATTTTAATTTCCTTACAACTCACTGTCTCAGGCGTAATTGTTGGCCTTTGAATGGATAAAGATATGTTCAGAGATGCAAAACTTTCTCCTTCAGATTCTTTGGATTTGTTATAATGTGGCTAGAATTATTATTATCCTGCATGGCAGGTTTACCTAATGGTCCTAACCCTGACCCCATAAGGGTCCTAACATCCTAATAGTAGTAACGCCCCAGACAGTGCATAGCCTACCTCAATATTTCAGGGCTTCTACTAAGCCGGTGGGATCCATCACTCTAAATTTGATAAATCCCATGAGCTTCCTCCTCCCTTAATCTGCCCTGACTTCAATCAGTCCAAAACTTGGATGAAACTGATGCTTCTTTATAGCTGCAAGGATTCTGCTTAGCACAAGTGTGGCTCATGGGAGCACAAGGCTCCGGTCAAACAGAGTTAGTCTTTACATTATCAGTATGGTGAATGAAACGATGTTTTTTCCTGGCATTTTCACAAGTCCACATGCTGTACTTTAATATATGACTGTATCTTTTAACTGTTGTAGAGGTAATGAGGTTTTCTATGCTATCTGCACGACACACATCATACTGATGTGCAGTCAGCCAGGGGTAATATTTAAGACATATTAGTTACTGTGCATTAATCACTTTTTAGAGGTAAATAATTTGGCCATCCATTTTCAGAAAAAGCGTAGAGGCAAAAACATATACACATATATCAAGCTTTTTCTGCGTTTAAGTTTTAAATGGGTCATCTAAAGGACATTTAGCAGTGCTTTAAAATGCTTTAACTTCTAAAAACGGAATTTACGTGTGAAATACGGGGAATGGTCATTAGATATGTAGAAGTGACAGTGAATTAACTCAGCTCACAATCTATAGGGCAAGTTTTATCTTGCTATTAGTAAAGTGGCCAAATTATAAACCTCTCACCAAAAGTGAATTCCTAAAGAAAAACTGCTTAATGATAGTGGTGCTTCTGGGTCCCATTATGATACAGCACATGGTCATCATAAGGCTTTGTCTGGCAACGTGCACTTAGGCATTTTTTCAGGTCTTGCCATTGTATATTTTTGTAATCATGTATAAAGTTCCAACTGTAAGCAGCTTCCATTCTGACTGAAATATTTATGAGACCACAAGATCAGTTTGATCTCGGCACGCTCCACAGTACTTATTTGTATTCGTGTCAAAAGATCACCACCAGAAGTGTACACTTGACAGGTTCAGAGCAACTTGGGATGAAAAAGAAGCATCTCGTGTGCTTTAATGATGGAGCTGTGCAAAGGCGTTGTAACAGCCGTTGCCAATAGCAATGTCTGTTCCTGTATAAACCATTGTGATGTTTCGTTTTCATGAGCTGATTTGCTTTTTCTGCAGCTCGCTACTTTAAAATAAAACAACAAAACCACACACACACAAAAAAAAAAAAACAAAACAAAACACAAAGGGCCAAATTAAAGCAAGGCTTCTGTTCACTTGTGGAATCAGAGCTGCTCCCACCAGATGTGAACTGGGCTCAGGAAGTCAAAATTCCTTTTAAAACCTGCAGTACAGTGTAACAGGTATATGTATCTAAAGCCTTACTATGACGATATGCTGTATCCTCCTTCAGTGTAAACCTTCATTGTAGGACAAAGCTAACATCATTTATTAATGCCTTTTTTTCCATTTCTACAACAAAACTAGTGGAAGAAAGTGCATGATGTCAGCGTGCTTGGAAGTAATGTTGCTTTGCTTGTTCTACCATGTATTAGGGGAGAATTTCGACCGCCAAGCCAGCATTCGGCGGTCTCTAATTTACACTGACACGGTGGTAAGACGGCCGAAGAAAGTCAAAAGGAGAAAGACTATTACAGGAATCCCTGACAACATACAAAAGGAGCTAGGTATGGCTCATCAGAACTGTATTCCATCCACTGTTCATTGTCACTGCTTATCCTTACTCGACTAATAACATTACCAGTGCTCATGAAACCAATACAGTCTGATAGCCGGTTACAGTTCCAAATACGTGTGTGCCTCCTTGCCACCTTGTGCATCTGGAAATTAGGGCCTTTTATCTGGTGACTTCTATCCGTTGGTGGGAACAAGGTGTTTGGGAAATGGTGGAGTGGTACAACGGAAATCTGCAGCCATGTAAGGTTTCTTCTGGTCTTTAATGCTTTCCCGGAGGTTTGGCCCACTCCCCCAGGATGTTCACTGAAGCAAAACTGAAGTGGGCAGGTATTTTGGCTTGCAAAATAATTACTCAGTGGAGTAAAACAATTCATGGATGCCTTCCTGAATCTGCCAAGAGTTGCATCAACAGGGAAAAACCTGTGCATATTCCAGTTCAGTTTAGATCTAATTGGCAACCCCTTAAGTATCAGTGTTACTTGATTTTTATTGGAAGTAATTTACATGGGTTCATTAGCTATTGCATGTATTTCAAAGGAAAAATGCCTCTGCAGTCACATTTACGCTACCTCAGGCTGTCCTCTCTCACAGTTAGTAGCTTACGTGATATTCAGAGCTGATGAAGTAGTCTGAATTTTCGTGGACCTTTCAGACGCTTTTTGAAGAACTCTTTGGTTTAAATCTGGTCATTCTCATTTATTTTTTTAAAAAAGTTTCAATTTTTCCCAAATATAACTTCACAGATAAAATTATGCTTCCCTTCCATTTTTTTTTTTTTGCAGTAGAGCAAGAACGTGCTTTAAAATAGCCTGGCAGAACATAATTTTAGGTGCTTTACATGTGGAATCATCTCGTATATTGACGATTTCAGTACTACTTTGCATTCTGCATCTCGTTATTATGTTTTCAATTCTTGGTTCTTTGTCTAGATTTTTCAGAAACAGAAGCAAAAATACGTAACTTGTCTGGATGGGGTTGAAATGAGCTAGAGGGCCAGGTGTAGAGAAAGCCAAGTAACAAGCAAGTACACAAGAGCAGTTTGTGAGTGGAACTGTGCTCCTTCAGCATCTACAGTGAAACAGTACCCTGCCATTCACATCCTCTGCCTCAAGAAAGAAAGTTCACTTGCCCTAACCCTCATAGGACAGCTAAAGTTAGGCAGCTTTAAATTTCGTTGCCTTTGGATCTCACATAATGATTTTATTTCTAACTGCTGTTCTGAGATTTGTTCAAATTAGTCAGGTGTCTTTGTCCATCTCTTCTTGCGGGATGAATGCTGTTTTGTGCCTGCCATAGGGAACTCCTCCTTATAGTGTGGGTTCCCTCCACAGTCCACAGGGGGCCTTGCCACCTGACAGGAGACACTTTCCAGACCTGGAGTCCTCCTGGAGGTCGAAATTTGAATTTGTTATTTCCTGAGAGAGAATGATGCATTTATCAGCTTTGCAATCAGCTATAAGCAAGCTTGAGAGTTAAATAAAATAAAGTAGCTTTGTTCTAACTAAACAAAGATCAAAACTGGAAACAAAGCTACATAATACTGAATTATTCTTAACAAAAGATTCCCTTCTACTGTTTTCAGTCTTTCTGAGGCTAATCCCTCAGATACCATGTTTACAGATGGTTTGAAGAATAGCAGAAACAACCTTCATCCTCTCTCATCTGTTCAGGATGGATACTTTTTACATTCCCTTCTTCCATTTTAAGCTCTTTGTCTAGAGCTGAGATGAAATGACTTGTGCTCTTTACAAACACTTGTGCCGCTGAAGTGCAAAACTGATACAGGACATCACTGAAATTGTTCGTTTTCAGGGTTGTTACAGTGGTTTTGAGTCTAGTGTGGTATTCGGAAAATGACACGCATACTAAGGTCCTAGTTTTCAACGGAGATCATCTTTGACATATATGGGACCTACCTCAAGGACAGATAGCAGAGCACAGCAGAATGTTTTGTTCCAAACTTCTGTTTGTCACTTGTTGGGGTTCCTGATGCTCTTTCAGGCATGTGGATTTTGAAACGAGTGACAAACGTACTTGGGTGGAGGTGTGGAGAATGCTTCCTGCCAGCAGCATTTCCAAAACTTGAAGATTGTGTTTGTGACTGCTTCAGACAGATATTTAATGCTTGGAAACATCAACTATAGTTTACCTGATGGAATAAACTAAGAATGGAGTTGGCATCAATCTTAAAAAGAAGTCTTCAATGAATATCTTAAAAGAAGTTTGCAGCTCTTCCCAATCTGTTTGCTAAGGGTGACAGGTTTTAAGGTCTTGATTTTGGTCTTTCATCTCTATGCTGAGCGTGTTTCATGTTGCACTGCTTGAAGGTCTTCCTTGGCTCCTATTTTAAGTTGCAGAAATCTCAGGGCTGGCCATATCTCACTGTAGGAGCTCTCTCTGGCCAGTTCCCTGGCCCACAACCGGCAGGCACGTAGGGCTTCAGCCATCTGCCCTACAGTGGAAGTTGTCTGAGGAGCTTCATGTTGCTTCCGTGGCGGTTGTATGTCGTCCAGACAGCAAAACGTGTGCCAGGAAAACTCTCTGATGGCAGTATCCATCCTGTTAACATACTGCATTCCATGACTGGAAACAAAAGTGTGCTTGAAAAGAGAAGAGTTATCAGTGTCTTCATCTTACAGACGGGGAAACCAGGCATGCTGCAGTGAGGTGCCTTCGCCAGAGTCACCCACCAGGCCGCTGGCAAGGCTGGGAATAAATTAAGTCTCCCCCGTCCATGTTCAGTGCTCTTTCTGCCTTTTCTCCCCTGTCACTCCCCAAATGTTTCTGTAGCCGTCCGTTCCCTATTTTCTTACGCTGTCCCAAAACAAACAATGAGTTGTTTTAAAACATTCCACAGTTCATTTGATCGGAACAAGGATCCGGACTAAACTCCAAATCAAGCAATTGCATTGTGCCTATTGACATTCTCCCTGTGGTTTCAGCTGAATAAATCTCTTTGTTTCTCCCCTGAAGCATTGCTGCGAATGGCTATAATATTTACACAAAGATTAAAATCCCTTGGTACACCAAAGTTGCTGTGCACAGGCTAAATAACCAACACGTACAGCAGATTCTTCTTACCTCTTGTTTATCCTTCAGAAGGAAGCAGAAACTTGAGAGAACCTCAAAGCTTCCACCAAGCTTGAACTATTTTCATTTCTTGCGAGAGAGCCTGGAAGAGCTTCTGCCGGGCCAAGCTGCTGGGGTTCTCCCCTGGCTGCTTTGGAACAAAAAAGTCCAAACAGAAGAGAGAGCCTGTGCTGGTTACTGGCCTGAGTTCAGCGGCCGTGGCACCCTTGTCGAATTTAGCCAAACGTACTGAAAGGAGTCATTAACTGCACCCATGAGGCATGTGCTGAAAGTATCTTTAAACATTGCTGCTTTTGAGCATTGTGGTGCTGCCATGTTTTCACAGGTGTCTTCCCGCGATGAACCGGTCTCTCTGCATAGCCTGAAAACTTCCACGTTAAAAACGCTGCGTAAATAGCTGTGATGTGATGTGATGTGACGTGACGTGACGTGATAGGTGGCATTCTGAGATGGAATAAGAGTATGAGATGCCTACCAGTTCAGAGATGCTAGTTATTTTCCGAACAGTGATTTTTTAACAGCAGGACCTCAGTACTGTTTAGCAGAGCGATACCAAAATAAGAGGAGAAGGCAAAGCATTCCTCTCTCTGCCAAACACAGCAAGGAAAAAATTGGTTTTGCACACCTCTGAATTGTCTCACAGAACATAAATATTATGTATGTATTTAATGGAGTCAGTGTTGCATCAAAACAGCAGAAAGGGCAAGAAACTTTGAGTTGATGTTTTACTTAAAGTTTTTGTGCTCTCAGTTTCTCTGCTCTCTTTTGCCACTATCCATTGCCAGTAGCTGTCTTCTTCAGATGGTACCTTACATGCAAACCGGTATTCTCCCCTCAGGCAAGAAGATGATTCCCAAACAGAAGTTTAGCAGAGATGAGCAGCTCTCTGGGAGAACCTGTCTCAGGCCTTGCTCATTTCTTGGCTCTTGGTTATCTTCAGCTTCCTTCACTCATTCAACTCTCCAGTTTAAATAAAGGCAGCAAAATGCCTTCACATTTCCATGGTCCCTTCTCTGTGTCAGTGCTCTAGGTCTGGCTCAGACTGACTTTCTTTTTCTGAAGGTACCAGGTACCTGGTTCTGTGTTTCTCCAGAGCTCTGCACTGGTGCAGTCCCAGGCTGATGGACAACATCTGGTGTCCCGGACCCTCTCCCTGTCTTGCAGGAGGAGTAGGTCACAGACCTGGGTATCGGTTCCACCACAGTTCATCTTCAAGTAAACATACCTCACCTCACCGAAACCATCTTCAAGTTTTCCATCTCTTGATTTCTTCTTCTTCAACTAAGCATTTTGCCTTTCTTTAATCAAACAAAGTTTCTGTCCTCTTTTGGTTTGTCAAAAAATGCCTTCTAAATTATGCTTTGTATGTACTTTCCTTGAATTATTTCAGTACTTTTTTTTTTCCCACTTCAAGGTGCAATTTGGGGTCTTTACAGTTCTCTGATTTATTTTTTTTCCTCCTCATCTACCTTTTTTTTTTCTTCCTAATGAAAGGGGTCAGAGGGTCAGAATGACCTCATGCTTTTCTTCAGCTTGTTTCCCTGCCTCCCATTTTCAATAGCTGACAATGAGTTGTCACCTACAGGACCTCCTGTCAGTCATCAGGATGGATATGACTGACAACCGAACAGACATTCCCTCATTTGCTTCTTGTGGCACAGCTCAGATCCCCTGTTGATACTAACTAGATGGTATCATTTGGGACTGTTGAAGCTTCTCCTTTGACATGCCTTAGAGGAAATAATTCCATCTCAGCAACATGGGGGCACATAAGTCCTTCTGATCCTTGGGAACTCAGCTGTTCTGTTGAAGACTCCTCTTAATTGATATTCTTTTCCAATTAGTCCCTTCAGCACCAGCAGTTACAGGTCCCACAGGTAAGAAGAGTCCCAGATATCCAGTGGTCCTGCTGGAATACCACACAAATACTCAGCTCTTCAAGCCAAGTAATTCTGTATCCTGCTTCAAGTTGCAACTTTAACAGTCTTTGGAGAGAATATCTCTCTATCAGAGTTACTGTGTACCTTTTAACTAATACTGGTTTTATAGCTGTAGTTTCTCAACGTTGTACGTTTCCAGCATTATTCATCCAGAGATCAGGGTGTTACAAAGTACGTATCATCTACTTTTTGACAATAGGGGATGAAAGACAGAGATGCCAGGAATATAATCTTTACCAGAGGCTGTTCAGTTAGTGAAATGAAGACAATCACAAAAACTTAAATTCCCAATATTTTCATCAAAATTCTCCCTTTCAGGGTGGCAGTGATACATGCAAGGATTCCTGAAAAGTGTTGCAGGATTCTCTGCAATGTGTTTCTCCCCTCTGAGAGATTGCAGATGCTTCATGGAGCACAGTGAAAATTCCTTAAAATTGCCATGAGCCTGATGTACTTGTTTGTTTCTTGTTGAGCATCTATTAAAAAATCATTTGATGTGTCAGTACTAGGGTAAAATAGATGAAGAATCTGGGGGGTTTTTTGTAACACTGGAAGTTGTGGTGCCTGCACAGTGGCTTGGCTAGGTCACCAGGTTTGGAGGAGGATAGCTAGGTGGGGCATGGAGAGAAGATGAAAGCAACAAATCTTAGGAATGTGCCTGTGGCACAAGAGACAAGTGCTTATAGGAGAAATGATTAGTCAGAAGTTTGGAAAGAGAGATTGCTTCTATATACTAGTTGAAACAAGCATATTCTTTATGATACCAGCACACTTACTTTTTATCCTCTGAAATCCTCAGGCTTTTATGCTCATTTCAATGCAGAGGACCTTTTTGCTGATTCTCGGCAGCAAGTTGCTGGTGCCACCAGATCAGCCAGAGTCACAGGGAGACAGGGAGTCTTCTAGTAGCTAGTACCTGGCCCTAGGGATTACGTGCAGACACTTTCTTTTTTCCATCAAATTTGCATTCAGTCTCAGTCCCTGTCATCTCTCATAAGCAATACCGGTAACAACCAGAGTCAGGAAAAACTGGTGTAACCTGTCTATGCCTATCTTGGATCAAGCTCTTGGAGCTAAGGTATGCATTTGAACCTCTTCTCTGTGCTTCCATGCAAGAGGTGTTAAATATGTTGCATGTTTTGGTTGTTCCAGATAGTAGATGTTCTTTACTTGCTGCTGGAGTCTACGCTGAACATGTGCATTAGGAAAGAGCAGTTGCCCTGAGAGATATTTTCAGCATAGTAAGTAGTAGGGTAATAAAGAAGAAAGGAGTGTAGATACAGGTCTCCTGTGGTGGATGTAGCACTGGCTGCAGGGCTGCTGGACACAGGATAATATAAAATGCAGACAAGGTGATTATTGATTACTTTCAGCCCCATTTATCGTACCACCAAATTGCAGCCACTTCTGACTTTATAATATTCAGCATCTGTAACCTGATGTCCAGTTCTGCAGTGTTTTCTCATGCTCTCTGCTCAGACATCACCCCTGCAACTAAAGGGACTTATGGGTGGTGTTCTCTAAAAGCTCTGATTCATGATTCCAGAATTTTGGTCTTGCAGAAACATCTTGTAACTTCTGTTGTAGCGTTTTTTTGTGAGAGACATAGCATTTTCAATGTGATAGCCAATGAAAGGTTTGAGCTGTCCCTTAGAATTGGATTGTTCATCTTCTGGCTGCAGTACCAACAAAGGCAGTTTGGGTTTAAAAAATTTTGAAAACCCTTGCTTTTCAGTGTTACTCTGGAAGCGAGTGAGAGTTTTACAGTGCATTTGGAAATTGCAAGCAGAATAGTCCTCACTACCCTCCTCTCGGTTCCACCAAAATCTTAAAACCCTCAACATTTAAAGAGCTTACCTGAGTCCTAAATGTTCCTGTGGTTGTTTTTTTGAACCATTTTCCCTGCAGATTTCTGTTGTCCCTCTTCAGGAAACAGAACTGTAAAAAGAGCAGTTGCTGTATTATAAAGGGCAAGTAAATCCTCACAGCTTTGCATGAGACTGCGCATACATGTAAAGCTGAAAACAAAGCTGAAGTAATTTCAGAATATGCTACACTTCTACCAAAAATATTTAAAACCTCAGAGTTGTGTTCTTGTAATAGCAACAGCCATGGAAAGGCCTTCACTGATCGTATCCCGTATAATGATTGAAGGATGTAGCCCTGTAGTTTATACTCCTGAGACTGGGCTGTCTCACCCCCTCTGAACCCTGTATTTATTTGGGCTCTGAGCTATTCCACCTACAAGAGACCTCACACTGGTGCAAAGACCTGCCCTGATGGGCTTCCCTGCAGTATCGAGGTTGAAAGGTCTGCTGCCGTTGAGTCAATTTATGCAGTTTCCATGAGCGTATTAGCCTGGACCTCAAGTTACATCTATTCTAGTAACCAGTGATGCTGAACAGCGTCCTGCACTCGTTTGTCCTGCCCTCTCCTTGGCGTGCTCCTCCGGCGCTGCTCTGGCCCGGGCCAGCCAGCAGTCTCCCAGGATCTGTCCGGGCATGGGTGCCAGGGGACGGGGCAGGAGCTGCTCCCCAGCCGTCCTCGCCAGAAAAGAGCTTAGCTTGGATTGACACAAGAAGGGCCCTTGGCCTCTTTCACTTAGTAGCTTAGATGTAGCGCCGAGGTTTCATTCTGTATTTCAGACATTTTGCATTTGCAATAAACAGTACGTCCCGATAATGCATTCCGACACTCCTGGTTTTGGAAGGAGAAGAGGAGACGTTAGCAAGGCCAGTGTTCTCCTGCTTTGCCATCTGCCTTCCCCAGCAGTAACGTTTTAAACAAGCATAAACTGTCCGTGCGCGTTACGCCACGTGTGAAGTGGACTGCATTTAGCTCCCTGCGTGGGTGCAGGCGTGCTGCATACTGAGATGAGGGGCTCTCCACCACAGGTCAGTATGGGATGGTGTTAGATACTTGCTGTAGCGCTGGCAGCTTCCTTCTCCACAAGCCCCATCCTCTGTCTCGTGTGTGTGTATGTACATTTCGTAGTGGTAGAAAGAAGAAAAATACCCCATCTCTTTGGTTATTTGGGTAACTCGGTACACAGATTTTTATTACTATTTTTAATTGGCTAACTATTACTATTTTTAATTGGTGATGTCATGGTTCCAGAAACATTATTCATGTCTACTTTGATATTTTTCTCTCTCTTAACCTGATTCTGTAGAAAAAATACACGTGGAAAACAAAATTATTTTTCTTACTGTACAGTTCTTAATAACTGTATACAGAATATGCAAATACCTCTCTTGGTTGGCTGCAGTAGTCCATCTGTTCTGACAGTATCTCATATTAGATTATCCAAGGTGTTTGCCAGCATCCAAGAACCTAGCTTTGCTGCAAACCCCTACCAGAAGCAGAAAGAGGCTACGTTTTCGTGAGAGCAGGAGGATCTACACAACGCAACCTAAATAGGCTTCAGGCTGCTAGAAGACTACTTATGTGCCTGGGGAAAAGAAGTAAACAATCTTTTTGTGTGTGCTGCTTTCACTGTAGCCTTTTCAGAGCCCCCTTTTCCTTATCCTAAATGCCCCTTTTGCCTACCAAGAATAAGAGTAATGAAATGTCCTTTAAATGATATTAAAGCTGCATGATAAGAATACCTATCCTCCTGGTCCAGGTCCATATAGTGGATATGAAAGGAGAACAGTCGTATCAGGCATGCCACTTCATCACTCCTGAGACTCGCTTTGAGGCGGAGACTTGAAATAACCAATTTTCCCCCGCAGTGACATATGCAGCATCCTTACAAGCATCTCCAGCAGCACGCCTGCCTCTCGTGTCTGCTATTTATACAGTAACGCAACTGAATTGAAAAGCAACAGCCTTACACAGGCTAATTTTAAAGCAGTGCTCTGGTTTGTGACTTTAGAAGGCAGCTGCCAATAAAAATGTAAGTTTAAAAGAACCCTAGTGTCCTTTCTACTGACCCAGTGATAACTATATTTTAAACTAAAACTGTTTTTCCATTGTCTTCAAAGTTTTTTTTTTATGCCAGTATATGATTATTACTTCATTTAAAAAAAATACAGTTTTTATTCCTGATGGTGCTGAGGATGAGATGACCATCAGTACTAGCCGTTTCTTTTCCCCGCTTCTTGGAGTTTTTCCTTTATGATAAATAGAAAGTAATTGTATGGAGAAATGTTATTTAATGGTTTTCTTTGCAGTGGTGGATAATGTCTTTGTATAAATGCTGTTCTAGCATATGTATTATTTGTGGTAAAACAATGCATGTTTCAATGTGTTAACTTCCTTTCAGACGAACTGCAAGACTTGGAGGGTTATCTGTGTCTCCTGAAATTTTTTTGCTGAAGTGTAATGCTTTTAGAAAGCAGCTCTGATTATTCACATTAGTCTCCACATTTCCTTCCCCTTTTCTTTATTGCGTGAGGCATTAGCATGGAAACACACTTCACGTTTCTCAGGCTTTTGTCTGTTCCTGCTGCTTTGCCTACTGGAAGTCAAACAGTGCTACTTGGTTTCTGACACAACTGATTACTATGGAAATTATTACCATGTTATAAACAGAGGATTTTATGTGTCGAATGTGCAGCAGGAACGCAGATGATTCTGTAAGCAGAAGGTTCCTGGTAGTAAGGAAAAAGGGAAGAGAAATGCAGAAAACACACGTTGCCTGTGCAAAATCCATTGTTGCAGATTCTTTTTCAGAAGGCATAACCTTCAAGAGCATGGGGATCAAGCAGTTGACTGGGGTTTTTTTTTTGTTTTTAAACGAGTAAGAAGATAAATGTGAATTTGTGCTTCAAGGAATAATTATTTTATTTTGACTCCAGCAGTTGGCGCTGGCCAAAGTGATTTCCGAGGGCATTCGATGTATGTCCCCGATCACTGCTCCACGCTAGGGAGACTGGACAGCTATCGCTCTGCTGGGCAGCGCTCTGAAACCAAGGACACCAGCTGCCAGACGGAGGACGTTAAAGTGGTGCCTCCTTCGATGAGAAGAATACGAGCGCAGAAAGGACAAGGCATCGCAGCCCAGATGTCTCAGTTCTCCAGCTCGTCTGGAAACATGTCGGTGATGAGTGATTCTGCTGCAGTTACCTTTGCTTCTCGCCAAAATAGCGACTTAGGTTTTCACAGCTTGCCTCGGGCTGGTGCGAGAGTGTCTCTGCAGTCCCTGGAGCAGACACAGAGCATCTCTAGGCAGACGGAAGACGTCGCTGGCACTTTACCCCACCAGATAAGTAAACTGCAAGTGGACGATAGTGTTGTGCATCTGAGGAACAATCCCACAACAGGGACCCTGTCGAGGCCAAAGTCTCAAGAGGTGAGAAGCTATGATGGCGAAAAGTCCGCAAGCCCAGCGTGTGTGGTCTCTCCTCATGCCACCTACTCAACGAGCATCATACCCAACGCAACACTGTCATCCTCCTCAGAAGTTATCGTTATTCACACTGCCCAGAGTGTCGGATCGTTGGATAGTAAAATCACCAGCTCCACTGTCTACCCGAAGCCAAGAGACAATCCTGTTGCCAGCAGTGCAGTAAGTGGGAAAGAAGATCACCATTCATCAAGCGGTAACTGGAGCGAGAGCAGCTCCACGCGCCACTCACAGACTTCGGATACCATCCCCTCTAATACTGTCATGATGCTTTCCCTTGGTGACTCTGCTGTCTCTCTTAGCACTCCTGGAAACGCAGAGGCCGGGTCTCAGAGCGTGAGCTACAGTTGTAGGAACAATCTTGCTTTGCCAAACCCTTCCCAGGACAGCGATGGTAGGAGTGAATCGAGCTATTCAGGGGAGCGAGCGCAAGCGGCAGTGAACAGCACAGAGCATTGGCTGTACAAGTCTGCAGAAAACAGCGAGACTCCTTCACACAAGGTGGTTTCTACCTCACCAGGCTGTGCCACTCCCGGTAGCAACCTCAGCAGCAGCAGCCTGGAGAGGACTTCGGTCAGGGACGATTCTACTTCTCTGTATTCTGTGGACCACGACAGTTATTACGGTTCTATGCATATGGACTCCGGACTGAAGTCAGACATGCCATGCAATAGTAGTAATGGTTTTGGGAACCCCAGAGACAGCGTGATAAACGTCTTTGAAGGAAAGGAGAAGAAACATCCGAACAACCAGTCAGGCCAAGGTGACAAGTCCCTTGCAAGAAACATCTCTCTGAAAAAGGCAAAGAAGCCACCTTTGCCACCATCCAGAACGGACTCACTCAGAAGGGTGCCCAAGAAAAAAGCCCAGTCCAATGGGCAGGTACTTGATGAAACCCTCATTGCCACTCTCCAGCATTCTCTGCAGTTGAATCTCAAGTGCAAGAACAGCAGCTCCCCTTCCCAGAGCCCCTGCAGTGATTATGAGGATCCCTGGGTGTTGCGCTCCCGCAGCCAAAGCTCAATCAGCGCAAGCAGCAGCATGATGTCCACCACTGCTCCCAACCTGTACTCCATCTGCACAGTCACTCCCTCTCAGAGCGAAACAAGCAGCATCAAGTCGGAGTACGCTGACCAGTGGGGTTACTACAGCGACTATGCCGCAGTGGCAGATGACCAGGTAAAATCCCCAGTGACCCCTTCTGCCAGTGCGTCATCTGCTCTCAGTGATTACAGCATCAGCCACTTCAGTGATGGCTCAAGGGCTTCTGTGCCACAAGTGCCCAGTGGACTGGCCAAACCAAAGAGCGCTTCACCGGAGAAATCCCACCGTGTCACTGGGGGTCCCCCAGCCAGTCCAATACACCCACTGCGCTTACTCCAGTGCCTGTCTTTTTAAAACCTGCAGCATCAGGAAACGGGAAATCCAAGATGAAGCCTAAAGTGCCTGAAAGGAAATCCTCTCTTCTGTCTTCAGTCTCCATGTCTTCATCCTCCACTTCTCTTTCTTCAAATACATCTACTGAAGGGAGTGTGAGTGTGAAGAAACTGGACCCCGCCCTGAGCTCTCCTCCAGATTCTGGTGCACCTCCTCTTGCAACACCTCCTCCACGTTGCCCTGAACTTTCTCCTCCTCCTCCCCCCCCTCCTCCTCCTCCAGCAGAAGTCATGGATCTGTCACCATTGCCAGCCTCTCCCACATTCCCCCCTCCTCCGCCAGAAGCTGATGTAACTTCTTCCTGTGCCCAGACTGTCCCATGGTTTTCGCAAGAAGCCGCCATCAGTTCGTTCTCTTCCCCTGTTCCTTCTCCATCTACTTTCCCCTTAGGTGTCCCGCCACCAGCACCACCTCTTGATCCCAAACTAACGCAAGGTGCAACAATATACCCACAGTATTCTTTTAAGAAACGTAACCAGGAGGATTCTTGCTACAGTCCAGTGAAACAGCCACTCAACAAGCAAGACGCGTCGAGACCCGTGATGCCCTTAGTAACTACCAAAGCGTTGCAAATGGTGCAGCTGAGGTCTGTGAAAAAAGCAACAGAAGGTGAACCATCACCCGAGTCTGCTTCTGAAACCATCTCTCAGGAAAAGGGTACTGTAAATTCATCGTCGCAGTCTTCCCTAAAGCCATCTCTCTCACTAAGACTCAGTACCAGCTTAGGTGAAGAGGACACGAAAACACAAGGCACTTCGTTTACAAACTCCGCTCAGACACTGGCGCGGGGTTCTCCTCTCGTCCTCTCCGATAACATACCTGCACATGGCAGCGATCAAAAGCCTGCAAGTGCAGTAGGTCTGAACAAGTCTTTCGAAGCTGATTCCGTGCGGAGAGCTACTGAAGATGCAACTGAGTCTTCAGTGCAGAGCGAAGACCTCCCTTCTGGCATGTCACTTCAGGGGTCACCAGCGTCTCCCGACAAGACTCAGGTTGTATTGCCAAGCAAGAAACCACCTCCTATTTCAAAGAAACCCAAACTGTTCCTCGTTGTACCACCTCCACAGTTAGATCTTACAGTGGAGAAAGCAGCTGAAGCGAGTGAGACTGTCAGAGGCACTTCGAGCCCAACTAAGAGAGACGCTGTGCTTGCACACTGCGAGGAGGCGACAAATTGTCTTACAGATGGACTCAGTTCTAGCGAGATGGACTCTGGCAGCCTGGTTCCTGAGGGAGGAGCTGCTGGATTCACCTTCTCTGAGACAGTGGGAACTAGTGCCTTTGTGGTACAGCCTGCTGCATCACCAGCTCGAGAAGAACCCAGGCAGGAGGAGCAGTCCGCTTTTGACGAAGGAAGCAGTTCAGGCAGCAGCCAAGACGGCGGCAGTAACGCTGACGGGCACCTCTCTCAAGAGAACGAAAGTGGTGAGTCTCTTTCCTCTGACTCTTCTTCAGACACAGCAGTAGCTGTTTTAAAGAAGCTGGGGAGCGAGAGTAGCCCTCCTTGCGTTCGGGTGGGCTTCTGCAGAGAAAAGAGCCTCTTGAGATGGTTTGAAAGCCTAAAGAAAGTTGCAGAGATCAGATTAATACTTTCTGTGAGAGTTCTTGCAATTCCTTTCTCGCTTCTCATTATTGCAGACATGGAAAGAAAATGATGCTTTGTTTACCTGTGCTAGGAAAAGATGGTTAGCTTTGTTCGTGTCGATTTTGCGTTTTAGTGGAAACGGGACAGATTTCCTTTCGGTATCGTTCTCCGCCTGCGTGTGCAAGCAGGCAGTAGGCGTTCTGTGCTCTGCAGTTTCCTAAGCAAGCGTTGGTCTGAAATCCCAGTAATGACAACGGGGCACTCACCCAGTGTCTCGGATGCCTTGCCTTAGAGGCAGCAAGGACTGGGTTCGGGATCGTATTCCTGTTGGGTTCCCACAACGGACTGACGGTGTTGTTTGTTCTCTCTGCGTAGTGGAGGTGTTTGAATCGGATACAGCAAATAGTTCGTTCCTGCCGAGCAATAGTTATGGGGAGGAGACGGACGGGGTGGCAACACCAGCGAGACCAAGGACTACTGAGGATCTTTTTGCAGCCATTCACAGGTACTGTGGAAATTGCCCTTCTCATGCTGTCAGGTCTGGTAGTTCTCTGAAAAATCAATTTAACGTTGTTTTACTAAAATACCCAATTACAGCAGTCATTGCTTTAACAGAAAGCACACGTTTATCAACTTTCAAGTAAGACTATATATGAAAAAGATAAGGAAAAGAACTTGTGTTTTGCTGTTTTACAAATATATTAAATCCATTCCGAACTAAAAGCTACCAGATTAAATCAATGTAGATGATATTATAAATAGCCTGCTCCTTAAAATATCGAGTTATGTCTAGTATTTATTGTACTGTTCTCAATCTGCCATATTAACTCTACTGTTGCTTTTTCTGTGTATCTTTTTGTTTTCATTCTCGTTCTTCTCCATCTCTTTTTACTCTCTCCGCTGCTTATATGGTGCAGTTTGGGACAGAGGCTCAACGCTAATGCTTCATGGCAAGCGTGGCTGAAACTGGCAAGTAACACGACATGTCAGTCATATGGCAAAACATATGGCAAACGCTGGATTATAGTTTGCCATAATCCAGCCTGAGGTCGGGTGTTTTGTGTCAAACTGGTTCATGAATGAAATGTGCAATACTGGCTCTATTATTAACGACATTATTCATTTCCCTTAAAACCAAAATCATCCTGAATAGGCAACTAGATTTTTATGCTGTCCATGTTAGGTTGTCAAAAAAAAAAAAAAAATCTTAAAACCACTCAACGAAAGGTGTGCACCATTTAAACAGTACACACAGAAGACCATAACCACTCTCTGAACTCCTGAGCTTGCTTTTAGACTAGAATTGGCGTAGTGGTAGTGCCATCTTGTGGCTTTGTCTTTTACTTCAGAATTTGGAGGGCCCATCACTTTTTAACTGGTCACAGAAAGTGCTTGGCAGCATCCATATAGGTGTATCCAGGTGTTTGGTCAGTTTGAGCATCCGTGTGAGAGTTCTGCATCAGGAGCACTGTGGGGCTGGGATGGGAGAAGCCTTTTGTGAGAACGTGGCTGGGAGTTGAGAGACTGCAGCACTTGGGATGCCAATGCTATTTTTGATTTTTGAAACGATTCTGTTTCAGGTGTTAGAAAAATTACATATATGATACTGACTTTTTACAACTTATAGTTACCCCTGAGGACTTGGCCTGTAGGAGCTGTTCTAAAAATGATCTGTGGCATTGGTGTTGCATGGCTCTCACTAGGACTGTGACAAATCTGGTTTTAGAATGAAATAGTCTGGCCAGTAGCCTTTCTCCATTATGTATGCAGATAGAGAGTGGATCTCTGTGTATGCACATACATGGAATTCGTGAGTTTATGGGGAAATGGACAATGGAACTGGATGTGACATAGTTAAAACTGCTTGACACATTCGTTATTAAGACCTTGCTTTTGCTGGCTTTAGACTTGAACCACAATCCTCCTTGGTTGTTAGTTAATAAAACACGTTTTGTTCCCCCCCTATTTCTAAAAGGTGTCATTTCAGTGATTGGCACTCTTGAATTTGTGCTTTGGAGTAAGGCAAGAAATTCAGTGCTATGTGTGTTAAGGGCAGTAAGAACAGTCTGAGTTTGAGTCAGAGTTTTGTTTGAATATATACCCAATCTTTGTCTGAAAAGCCACCAAAACCAAATCTGGCTCTTGATTTTAAGTTTCTGCCATAATTCATACATGCTGAGAAAAGCTGGTTAGATGCTGA